ACGCGCTACAGATTCGTATTTAATCATTATCGTAAATTACGGGCACGTGCATTTCCTAAACGGTTTTTTGCACAAGTGCCCAACTCGATATTTCGTTGCTTTATTATTTTATTTATTTATTTCATTTTATTAGGGATTTCGTGAGAAAAAAAGAGTAATGCAAGCTATACTGTAATTTACATAGCTTACATAGCATACGTTTAATTCGATTTCGTCTGTTTCAGAGAACTATATAGATATAGGAAAAATGAAATAAATAAAATATTCAGAGATTCTATAAAATTCGAATTTATTAAGAATATTTCAAATGTCTTGCCAAGCTTTTATGTTAAACAAACTCCTATTTTATGCAGCTGGCAAAGAAACAATAGGTCGATCAACTTTATTCTTTTTCCATTTAATTTATAAATAATTCAAATTTTTAATCTCTGATATATGTATAAAACCCAACCAAGACAATATTTTGCATAATTAAATTAAATAAGTAGTACCCTCAAGATCAGCATATCACTGTATTACAACGCGTTTGCAGAGTAATTAAATTTCGGCTAACCAAGCCATAAACTCTGCTTTCTGTTTGTTTTTACTTTACCATTGTTCAACTGGAATAGCGTGTTGATCTTTTGAATTTACAGTCGCAAAATGGGCATATTATTTGCTAGTAGCAGCAGCTGCTGCACTCTGAAATGGCAGAAAGGTGCAATAATTGAAATTTGTTTAATAAATATGAGTATAAATGAAAAACTGCCAACAAAACGAAGCTGAGCAGCTGACTAAATGACAGCTTTATAGTCGGACAAAATATTTGGTTAATTTATCATAAAGCGGATATTTTTGCAAAATTTAAATGTAAAAGGATTGCATCGATTGTACAGGAACAGCTGCCACATACGATGTATAATACGTGACTCAAGTGCATTTCAGGTGTGTGTTTCCACTTTGAAGATACTCTTACAATTCGACAAGTGTTGAAAGAGCACACTCCCAAGTAACTCAACTCATAAGAAAGCTGCATATCAGGTGTGTAGCTCTTATATTTATATATACAATATACCTGCTTGTCTTGGGTGGAGATGATAAACACTCAAATGGCAAGGCGTTCAATAAAACAAAGGATCATTCGGCACTAGCTTTACATTTAGCCATACATGGCGTATACGTGATATAAATATTTAAGACAGCTACGTACAGGTGTGGAGTTCCAATATTTCAATACACTTTACTCGTTTGTCATGAGTGGAGATGGCAAACAATCAACTGGCTCAATTAAGGCTTTCCAATTAATATCACTATTTCAGGATCACTAGGCCTTAGCTTTTGATTTTTCTGAACATGGCGTATACGTGATATGCATTCGTAGTTTGTATATTGACCAATGGTAATTTTATATGCTCTATGCATGCGCCTATCACATGGGCCAGGGCCAAACCCTGAAATAGCTTAAAATAATCATTTTCAGCTTTACAAAGGACAACAGGGTTCCAGCTTTCCGCCACACATGGCGTATACGTGATGCAGAATTATATAACTGATTAATCTGACCTAGCAATATTTTTTGTCACATGTGCAAATGGCAAACTTTAAAATGACTTTAGATTGTAAGCTCTAGCTGCATAGGCTTGTCCGGGCGTATACGTGATATATGTACCTGTATAACATTTATATACCCTATCAATTTGCCTGTCACATGTGCAAATTGCGTATCACATGCACAGTTGAATGTTACTAAGGTATTTTTTCGTTTTTTCGTAATTACATAATTAACGCTGTCCATTGATAAGGACAAATGCATTGCAATACAATATATGATTTATCAGTTTGGTCTGGGGCTTTAAAATCGAAACGAAATTAATGCCCTAAGACCGTAGCTCAAGTCTTTGATTTATCGTGTGTCATAGACAAACTAAAAGACCTGTTTAGATAAGGTGAATGCATGATTAAGTGCACCCCAATACATTTGTAAGATATTTTCGCTGGCACGCCCAGCCGCCCACTATCTGCGATTTATCTGTTGCCGTGCGTCAGTGCAAAAGATCCTATCACATGACTTCGCCTCACAGCCGCAACTCTCGAGTGAGTCTCTGTCACAGCACGTGACGTGTCTTCAAGTGAATATTTGTTGTTGTTGCAGCACACGACAAAATTTAAAAAGCAAGCAGCAAGCAGCAAACACTGGCAAAAAAAAAAGTAATATAAATTTAAAATTATTTATTTATTTTGTTGTCACAGATGTTTCTTGACTAGATAAAGCGCCTACAGACAACAAATTCTATTGCCACAAAATAGAAGTAAAAGTTTCATTTATTCTCAAATAATATTTATCTTGGCATTTCGCAGACATAAAAGTACTTTTCTCTATTTAACATTTTTATGATCTCAAAATGCACATCTGTTCACATTTTAGCAAAAAAAAAAAGTTAGGTAAACGAAGGCGGTTTTGTTGTAATTTCTATTATTTAACATTTGCCCAAAATTCTATAGTATATTTTAATTATACTTGAAAGCTTTACTTCAGTCATTTAATTGATTTGTATTTCCAAATGGTCTTATAATATTTTATTTAATGATAGTTTTCCCGTGGGTTTTCCATTACAGGTAATTTGACATATCTTAGTGTTTATTTAATTGGGCCTTTACCCAGTTTGGTAAATGAATTGTTGGACGTCATTTAATATAACGCTATTAACCAGATTAGACCCTGATTTTTAGTCAACTTGAATATACCCAACACGTTAACCAACCTGTAAACACTTAGACACTTTAGAACAGGCTACATTATATTAGAGTATATTTCTACTTTGACATATATCGGACGGAAATTGAATTTAGTAGGGTATTTAACTAACTTGCTTAAAGCTAAGCCAAGAGCTTTCTTACCCATTTTTACCATCGTAGCACAAATATTTGCCTAGACAAAAAACCTGAGTCGACTGTCGAAGCACACAGTAAGCTATGCCAGCTTTTGCTAAAGCCTTCCAAACACCAGTCAGATATTAATAAAAAAAAAAGTCTCTTAAAATGCTTAAGCCTTCTACAAATATACACGTGCATACTCATTTGTATTTGTACACGCATTTATCAGATATGGTTATCATTAAAGCCACATACAAATTTCCGGTACAAAGAGCATCAGAGCAGTTCTTACTTCTAATGTCTCAGGAATTCGTGCAAGATAAAAAGATAAAAAGATATAAATGATCTCAAAAAATCGTAGGAGAAACGGTTAATCAAGCCAGGAATTCCAAATATTGTTTCTCGATGTGAAGAACAAGATCCGTGCACTTAGAGACGAGCCTTTGGTTCGTGCCCTGAAAAGAGCCATCTTTAATAAAGGTGATTTCCATGATTAACTATCTTTGGTAAATACTTCTCGCCCCCCACATGCTTGGCTAGTGCCTAAATGGTGATATAAGTCTATTTGTTTTGGTTAAATGACATCATTTAGTTCCCTTCATAAATAGACTGAAATTCGAAAGAGCATTAATGGATTTAAATTTGCCACATCAATTAATCAAATGTGCTTTGTCTAAACGAGTCGCAGTTAATTAAGGGGATTCGTGTGTTTTGCAGGACCCGCACACTGGGCCAAGGATTACCCGCAGGCATCCGGACATCGTCAGTCGCCCGTGGACATAACGCCCTCAAGCGCCAAAAAGGGCAGCGATCTGAAGGTATCGCCTCTTAAATGGAAGTATGTTCCGGAGGATACAAAGAGTCTGGTAAATCCAGGTAGGTTGGCACACAACATCCTATAAAGTCAGCCAAGCTAGAGATGTTCCTCAAACACATTGCAGGCTATTGCTGGCGCGTGGATGTAAACGGCGCCAACTCAGAGCTGACTGGCGGTCCATTGGGCGATCAGATCTTTAAATTGGAACAGTTCCATTGTCACTGGGGCTGCACAGACTCCAAGGGCTCCGAGCATACGGTCGACGGTGTCTCATATGCCGGCGAACTGCATCTGGTGCACTGGAACACCACCAAGTACAAGTCATTTGGCGAGGCGGCCGCCGCACCTGATGGTCTGGCAGTGTTGGGAGTTTTCCTGCAGCCGGGCGATCACCATGCTGAGCTGGATAAGGTCAGCAGCCTGTTGCAGTTTGTGCTGCACAAGGGCGATCGCGTTACCCTGCCACAGGGATGTGATCCTGGCCAGCTGTTGCCCAATGTGCACACCTACTGGACGTATGAGGGTTCGTTGACAACGCCGCCTTGCTCCGAATGTGTCATTTGGATTGTATTCAAGACGCCCATCCAAGTTTCCGACGATCAACTGAATGCCATGCGCAATCTCAATGCCTACGATGTCAAGGAGGAATGTCCCTGCAATGAATTCAATGGCAAGGTCATCAACAATTTCCGCCCGCCACTGCCGCTGGGCAAGCGCGAGCTGCGCGAAATTGGCGGACACTGAGCAGGCGTCGTTGGATTGGTCGCACGGTCAAAGTCATTGGATAAATCGAGTCGTATGCTTAGCTATATATATATTTATATATATATATATTCATATACACCGCCTGCACCGTAGTAGCGAATCGGTTGAGCTGCTCTGACCCACCACCAATAAACACCCCGTTCCCGTCTCCTCCCATATCATATACCCAGAGCAGCAGATGCCCATTGTTAATGTCTCGTTTTAGTTTTTATTACTTTATATAGCAAACACTTGTACCTCTTTATATATGTATTTGCTTGTCTAACTGTGTATTTGTATCTTGTATCTTGTTACTGTACGAGTGCTTTGTACGTTTGTTTGTTAAACATTTGCTAAATGACAATTAGATTAATGTGTATTACACTTTACGGTATTAAAAAATAAATATATTACTATTAGATGTTGCATATTGAAAATGAACAAAAATCGGAGTTTCATTTCTTCAATACGTTCCCGACATTCGATCTTGTCAAATTCTCTATTATAAAACAAACTGATTGTCTTAAAAACATTTTTCAAAATATTTTATATATATTTTTATATATATATTTACTTCCTATTTTTGTTATTTTGCACCGTATCGGTTTTATTATAAAAGGAACAGTTATTTTTTGCTTTTTAATTTTTGTTCGTCCCATAGGTCCACAGTTCGAAAAGAATCTCCATACAGTATCAAAAACTCATAAAAATGAATGGCCACAGGAGATAGATATCCACAGGATTTTATTTAGGAATTTCTGTAATATATATACTCCCAGACATTAGTTTAATGCAAGCTATTGTGACGATCGGACCTTTGCATATCTGCTCCCGTGGGTGCCTGTGATAGTGCGCCGGTTAGAAGAATATATTTATTAAGTGAACTAAGACACTTACCTTGCCCGCCCCGGGGTACTTAAAACAAATCCCTTACATAGTTGGTCTTAAAACTACGAATGCTGCCGCAGGCAGCTCAAGTGCAGTGCTAAATTTAATTGTTAAAGAAACTATAAATGCAATTCAACACGTGCCGGGGTTCTTGCGCGAGTAAAACTGCATAAGCTTAATTCTAAAAACTCTCTTATCCGAATACGTGAGAGCTTTAGAGCTTTCAATCCGCTCACTAATACGAACATAACTAGTGACAGCGCTGAGCGACCATCTCGTGACATGATCACTCTTTGGGAACAGTGACTTTCCCAAAAATACTGGTTATTTTTTGAGTTTACCCAGTATTACAACACTGATAATACACCCGCTCCCTCTCAGCCGAGCGTGCTCCAACCAGATGAGAATTGAAATGATGGGGAAGTCGGGGCACTGGCAGAGAAGATGGAAATAGAGCTATATGCGGATAAGGAAGTCAAAGTACACATATCCAGAAAGCCACCCCCCATCTTCATCGAAAATGCAAACAATGTGACCCAGATGGAGGCAGAGCTTGATGCTGTCATTGGGTTAGATAATTATACTCTGCACGTTGGATCACAAGGAAACATAAGAGTTCACATTTTATCAAAGAATATAATGCACACCACTTCACATACCAACTGTAGGAGACAAGGCCTTCAGGCTTATTATCCGCCATTTGGCTAGCAAAAGATAACATTAGCCGGGACGATTTAATAGTTTTATTAGTTTATAAGTATTGTATTGTTTCAGGTTAAGATCATAGCTTGATAAGAGACAAGGAGCCATTAATATCATAAGTAATTTAAGTAATATTATTATTGAGCAAAGGGCAAGGAACTGTTGAGCTTATAGCTCATATCGTGTGCATTAAGCGCATAGTTAAGGGCAAGGAACCCAGTTCAGGTTTGAATTTAAGCGCCGGCCGCCGCCGTGCGTTTCTGGTCGGTTTCTGATCAACATCGCCTTCGAGAGCACAGCTTCAATTCGGCGGCGAAGAGCAAAAGCTCCGAAGCGAGGCTGCAAAAGCTCGCAGCGAAGACAGTGCGGCACTAGTTTAGGAAACTCAGTAGGGTAAAAGCTTATAAAACTAGTGAATAAAGTGAATGTAGCATAAGTAATTAAGAGAAATGCTAATCTTTGTATTCTCGGGCGGTCATATTTGTGCTAAACATCGGAAATTACCGATGTTCACCCTAACCTAGGTGCGAGTGTGTAGTTGGTGCGAGGGCAAGTCCCGATGGTGTAGATGGAGCGAGGCCAAGTCCCGGTAGTGCAAATGGTGCGGGGCTGCAGCCCGCTAGTGTAGTGGGTGTGAGGTTAAGGCCCGATAGTGTAGATGGTGCGAGGCTACGACCCGCTAGAATAGCAGTACGGGGGTGCGGCTCGATAGAGTAGGTAGGATAGAAGTAGTGCCAGGTATAGTTTGGTCGAAAAATTCAAAATTTCCCCCCTCCCTTAAGCCCTTCGTCCTAGCGAACTTATAAATGTCTTGTAACCCGCTGGGCCTGGTAAGACTTAGACTCGTACCCCGGCCAGAAGCTCCTCCACAACTTCTTTGCTTAAGGGGTTCACCCACATGGTTTATGTATAAGGCCTGAGTATCAGTTATCCTCCGAGCATAGTAGTTGGTTACGAAGATAGCCATATGTCATTCCTTAACAAGGTTCACTCGGCACCCCTCCTTTCTGCGCCAGTAAGCCGATCAGAAAGACCACAGGTGATTCTTTCGTCAGCAATCTATGCACTACTGCTGATTAAGAGAAGGATTAGAAGGAAGTACTGTTGAACCGGAGATACAATTGTGAACACGATCTAACGCAGAGTGTCGAACCGGGCCAAAAAGCTGCTGGAGCTAAATAGACAAAGGGAAACCGACCGTTTTTGAAAATTTTCTCCAAATAAGTTTTCAAGTCACTCCCTGTAGAGACTGACGAGAAAGTATAAACAGCAAATCGTCTAGCTAGACGTCTTCTAAAAAGGCGTGGAATTGGAGGAGTCCGAACGCGAAGGAGATTGCGAAGGTCGCACCCTATCGATCTCCCAGATCGATTTATAAAGTCACCCCCGTAAATTTGTATATTAGACTTACCAGTAGAATAAGTTGTTTGTAAATATTCATATAAATTTTGTTTAAGTTGTTCGTCATAATAACAGAAAAATTAAAAATGATATAGCAAATAAAAATAACCTCCCTAACATTTACAAAATCGTTGCATACTTTTGGGACTATCAATTAAATAATTAGAAACTGACGACTGAAAGCAAATATATATGCATATATTTTTTTTCATATGATTTTGTATTGAATCAAAAATAGAACACATTTTCATTACAACGCAGTTAACTTAGGTGATATTTCGACAAGCCCGGTTGGGTCCTAGGGCTATATAAATACATTTTAATTTACAGCACGATTGACCAAACACTGTGGCATAGTTATTAAATAAATTAAAAACCATATTTCGGATGAATAGCTTTAATGCAAGGTACCGTGATATTTACAAGCCCACAAAACCACGTAGTTCTCTAACCTTTACCTTTTACCTTTAGCTTTTTATACCCATTAAAATGGTTAGAAAGAGTATAATGTATTTGTGCAAATGTATGTAACAGGCAGAAGGAAGCATCTCCGACCCCATAAAGTTTATATATTCTTGATCAACATCAACAGACGCCTCGATCTAGCCTGGAAACCTGAAACTTTAGATGTAGGTCCTCCTAGTGCCTGCGCAGATTGAGTTTGTTTCCGATATTCGATAAATGGAACCGTTTCCATTTTAATTTAAAAAAAAAAAATAACCAGCCGCCTAGCCCATAGTGCATAGTGTATCGGAACATTTATTATTCATTTATTAGCTGGGATCCTGTAATAACTAAACGAATACTATGGTGATTAATGCTTCGGTATATTTATTATTTATAGCGTATAATCTGCAGAATAGTTAGTCAGAGCAGGCATGCAAAAGCGAATATAGCTTTAAGTATATGCAAAAAATTATAACCTAGCCCATTGGGAATTTAACTTTTGAGCGAGTAGTAGTAAAATAAGAACAATTAAAATGTTTCGGTATATTGCTTTTTCCGCGCTGCTGCTTTATATGCTGGTGCAAACGAAACGGGTTGAATGTAAGATGCATCAAATATTATAGCCAATAACAATTATGTACCAATTAAATAAAAAATTCTAATAGCAACTACGCTTAGCACCCGTCTGGAGTACAAGACAATAGATTTCGTGCCGCAGGAATATGTAGCTAAGTTAAAACCGTTCGAATTAATTGGTCGTAAGTTTTATTTCATTGCAAGCAAGGAACTCAACTGGTTTCAAGCGGCACAGGAATGTCGACAAAAAGGCGGTAATCTAATTAGCCTGCAAATGGAAGAGGAAAGGCTACTTGTTGGCCTTCGACTGAATGTGAGTCAAAGCTATTGGCTGGACATAAATCGACTGGGTCAAGAGGAATATGTTTCGCTTACGACGGGTCTACAGACTGGCTATGAGAAATGGATCGATGAGGATGTGCATGTGAAGGACCCTCATGAAATAGATGAAGAATTAAACTGTGTGGTCTTAGTAAGCGATTACAAAGAGGGTTTTGTGATGAAGCAGGCGCAATGCCAGGAAAAAGCAAACTTCATTTGCCAACTATCCTCACCACGCACAATTTCCATTGTGGTGTGGTAGTGTTTAATTAAATTAAATTATAATCATGCCCGAACAAATTCAAGTTTCGACCCAGTCAAGACTCATTTCGTAAATCTGGTTAAAATATTAAAAATCACTTCATTCTTAGTTATTAACATGCTTTTGATAATACATATTTGTTTAAAAAATAAAAAATACATCTACTTATGATGACAAACACCACAGAATTTAATCTTCTCCTCCAATTTTTGTTTAGCTTTAAATATAGCGTAAGGTTTACGCCGAAAGCCAATTTTTGTACTTCAGTCTTTATCCAGATACTGAACAAAATAAAAGAAAAAAGTTCACAGCTGGTAAAATAAAATTCATTTATTGCAAACTTCTAACTACGTTATAATATACCCAATAATTAAGTTTAAGACTTGGTAAATAATAAACAAACAATTGATATTCCGGATGAAAAACTAGTCACTTCTAAGCCCTCTGGCAGCCACAATTATAATTAATATCTATCTTCCTTGTTTTAAATTTGTTTAAATTAATTAAACACTTTTTGACTTACCACCTTGTCATATACAATTCTCGACATAGTAGAAATAGAGCTAGAAATAGGGAGCTAGAGAATGATAGTTTTAACGTATGTCATGCAGTTTGTTTGCCGAATTGCAGCAGCTCTTTTGGTTTGCAAGTCCATTGCTTAAAATATTCGCATTTCAATTGCCGCCAGGCCAGCTGGTAATCCTTTGCCAAGGCTTTGCATTCGGCATAGCTAATAGTTTGGAGATCAGTTAAGTGTAGACCGAACTTTTCGCGCAGCTCTTGGCAGCAGTGCAACAAGTCCAAGAAATTGAGTAGCAGCCTATATTTACTCACTGCCAAAGCAGCTTGTACTGTATTCAGTTTCTGTTTGGTGACGCCTTGACGCTTGCCATCTACTGCAATCTCATAGGGTCTGTGGAAGAGTTAAAGATTAAAAAATGCTCCCAGAACTGGGGACAACTCACCTTAGCGACTCGGGCAACTGGGCCCAAATAAGGCTAGTCGGCGCCGGCTGCCGTTCCGCATACTGCGCATGCTCAAATTTGAGTCGATTATCTATGCGTATGCATGGCTTCTGCGGCTGGTAGCGTCCCAGTGAGCAGTTTCTGCCGCGCCAGCGTTGATAAACGGCACGCTGCAGGCTCTCCAGGCGCGCTTCGGCACAACAAAAGTTGAGGCTGCTAAAGTAAATGGGCTTATCGATAAGCATATCCAGAAGCGCGCCTTGAACACCCATTACATTCCAGCGGGACAACTTGTCGCTGCATGACATGGATAACGTGCGTTCACCACGACCAGGTTTGGTGCGCAACGCTGCTGGCGTTTGCAGCATGTCATCACACTGGTCTTTCTGCTGGCATATTAACTTGGCGCCCGTGAATACCGTAGAGCTTGTCGCTAGAGGTAACGCTGCTTTTGGCTCCAATCGCGATCGCTTCGCTGGCAGTATCGAGGGCTCGCTGTCGACCACAATGCACGCATCTCCGCAGGGCGTTTGCGTGCTCAGGAAGTGATACTCAAGCTGCTCGTTGAGCGTAAAACAGCCAGCCGCTGATTTCCAACTGAAGATTGATTGCGCTGCATCCTGTTGCTGATCCTTCTGCGCGTTTGCCTTCAATAGCTGGTTGTGCAAATAGCGTAGGAAAGCTCGTCGCGCCAGTACCTCAGCATGGGAATCGTTTATTACAAAGCCCTTGGCACATAGCTTACTCGCACCAATGCATCTGGTGCTGAGTATTTACAATTAGTAAGCTGCTTATTTAAATGTTTCTGTTTAAACTGTACGAACCCAGTGGCAAGTGCAACCACTTTGCTGGTTTGCGTTCCTCTGTCGTATTGCACTATGCCGGCCAGGACTGTCCATTGGCTGCTTGTGGGTTTGCCAGTTTTTGGTAAATCGCGAAATTTGCTGTAACATAGTTCAGCTATTTGCTGCACTGTAGGTTTGTCCTTAGTTTTCAAACACATTTGAATACAATTGCTAAGAAGTTGCGATAACATACAAAAATGATGATATCGATTGTCGATTAAGTTTTTAGGACGAAATATAGCACAGCTGTTTAGTAAATAACTTATTACCCAACACTGGACAATTATTATCTGGCGTTGTTGCCACAATTTAAGCAAATAGTGTGATTTAAATAAAATATAAGATGCCAAAAGTTGTTTCGCGTAGCATTGTTTGCTCGGATACAAAAGATCAAGAGGAATATACCGAGGAGAAGCCGTTAAACATATACTATTGCTTATGCGGCAAAATGTCGCTAATTTTGGGTACGTACAAATGTGTTTACATTCAAAACCTTTATTAAATTTACAAATTTATATGACAGATTGTACATTAGAGCAGCTGCCGCTGCGCGAAGCAGATAACGCGCGAGTAATTGATGCCAATGAACATGCCAATAAATTAACTTACAACCCGGCGCCCAGAATGATCTACATACGCCGCAAGGGCAAGGGCATTGAGAAGCAGTATCGATACAGCGTGTGTATTAAAGAATAGAAATATTCTATATATTTAATATAGTGAAAGAGTCTTAAAGCGAACAGCCGCGGTTCGAGACTTAAGGCTTGATGTCTAGTTTACAAAAAGGGGAAAACTCAAGAAAATCTATGTTAACTTATTGCAAAGTATTGTTGCAATTTGGAAGAACAAGGAACTTTAGCTGTCATTTGGTTTTTGTATTATTAATTTTGTTGTCTGCTTTGTTATATGCTCGCCCATAGAGTTTCGCAATACGCAGCTGTTCGTTAAAGGAGCTTTCATTGCTTATGTATATGATATTATTAACTTAAACTCTAATTTACAGTGCCGTAACTGCACCCTGCCATTGTACTATCGCCACAATTCCGACTCCCATGTCACATTTGTCATGAGCAATGCGCTGGTGCGCAACAAAGGTGAGAAGCCAGTGGCCATGCTGTTGGCAGCGGAGGCGAAAGCCAAAACAGCCAGTACCACAACGAATGCTGCAAGTGCGCCGCCAAGCACAACAGCTGCTCCCAGCAATGAGGATTCGGGAATAGTGGACGCCAGTGGCAAAAAGATTATGGTCACGCGTCACACCAAGAACATGGGCAAATTTAGCTCCGTTACGGTATCCACCATAGACGAAGAGGAGGATGAAATTGAGGCGGTATAAAAACTGGTCACAAACCTTTTATTTTGAATAATACAATTTTTGTTTCTCCATTCTACAGCGAGAGATAGCCGATAGCTATGCCAACAACGCGCGCATCATTGAGAAGCAGCTGCAGCGCAAAGGTGGAAAACTGGCTGACCTGGGCGCCAAGCCCAAGGCGGAAGAAATGCCACCGCCGCAAAAAAAACAACGCGGCACACTGCTGGAAAGATAACTGATGCACAAACTCTAAATATCGAGATAAGCGCGCACTATTGTTTTAGTAAATATACATAAGCAAATGATTGTACGCATATAAATTATTCAGGAAGGATATACTAACGGAGTTAAGTTTATATGCCAGATCTAAATTATCTCTATTGAAGAAAATAACCGTAGAATATATTTTCTCCAGTGCGAGTACGCAAAATATTTATCTGAGTAAAAAAGAGTATACATATGTTTGGAAACACTGGAAGTCGACGGGCATATATAATTTTCATCGGTTTTTGTTTTTTATTTTAAGGTTATAGACCATTAAAAATTAGTAAAAAGGGTGAAATTATTATTGTTTATTTATATTCTTGATCAGCATCAATAGCCAAGTCGATCTAGCCATCTGCTTGTGTCTGTCCGTCCGTCCGTATGTATGAACGCAAGGATCTCAAAACCAGTAAGAGCTAGAAGTTTTGATATAAGAACGTATTCAGCAAACTTTACAAGTAGCTTCTTAAATAATAATAACTATATATATATATAAATATATATATACATATATATATTTAGTACATATCATTTTAAAGCTATCGCCAGCTAATCGCTAGCCCCATACAGATAACTATTCACATATTTTATTATTTATCTATTAACCGATTTAAGCCACAAATTGAAGGCAATTGTTTGTTATACGTATGTTCAAAAGCACATTAAGATCTACTGTTGAAAATTTCATCAAGATCGAAACGAGCTCGTTGGTAGAAGAGGGTTGAGGCAAAGACAATATAAACAAGTGTTTATGTTGTCTTTGGTTGAGGGTATCCACTAGTCGGGAACTCCCGCCTATAGCCTCTTACTTGATTTTTTTTTAAAGACACTTTTAAGCGCTTTCGATAACCTTAAGCCTAATTAAATTCAGAACGCTGAGCAATTAACATAATTTACATTTTAAAGCTTGCCTGCAATCAAATAGACACAACATGTTACAGTTTCAGCTACACTTGAGACTCGTATCTGTGCGAAGCTTAAAATGAGTTCTTATAGAATGAAAATAATGTTTTTAATATCGATTACATTGGTTAATTGTTTTCCAACCGATACAAATAGTGAAGACTGTGAATACGACTGTGTTCCCTTCGAGGAATGTAAACATTTAAAATATTATGCGGAATTTACGCAATCAGAAAATGGAGTTAAATATTGCAGTGATAAAGATAATATAGTTTGCTGTTGGAACAATGAAAAGAAAGTTATTGCCGAAAAAAGTATGTTATATATATATAAGTTATTTAATTGCTGACTAAAAAATAGATTTTATACTTAGTAATTCTAGGCATGCGATAGAATTCTAGGAACGCATTCTTGAAAAATTTCTGTTTTTTCACTCTGGCTGTTCTTACTTAAATTTTATATTTTTATTTCTGTATCCAACATAATACCTCTAGCTATTATAATCTGTCAGAAAAAACTATCTATATGACAGTGGGAGTTAAAGTATATATTCGATCGACACAGCTCGATCAAGAATTTTTATACTTTATGGGACGGAGATATCTCTAGAAAAATTATACGCTTCTAGTAAAGTTAATTTTGTATAACTTTATTTAATTACTGGTATTTGCATTCTTCCGACTTATTATAATGCAGAATGCTTGGAATTTACAAAGATTAGAGACTTTTGCTCTAGGGAACCGCTCATTATGAATGGAAGTCAACCAACACCGCATGCATTTCCTTTTATGGCCTTGATACAAAATAGACTGTTAAATCAAAGTCAATATGAATCACATTGCGGTGGCACGTTATTAAATTCAATGTTTGTTCTCACGGCGGCACATTGTGTGGATAAAATCAAATTTCCGGATAGGTAAGTCTTTTTAACACAATTTTATTATTATTTTATTATATATGTATTATTATTTAAAGGGAATTTTCTGTGCTGTTAGGAGCCCATGATTCAAATAATTCCGGCACGCGGTTTAATGTGACAGAATTTGTTCATCCAAACTTTACTACAGATGATCCTTATGCTGATCTTGCCCTGTTGAAACTGCACAATGAGGCGGATATTACAACAAAATTTATAAAGCCAGCCTGCCTATCCACATCTACTAGCAGTACAACTGGAGAATATACTGTTGGTGGTTGGGGGTATCATAATAATCAAAACCGATCAAATGTGTTGTTAATTGGAACAGTGGTTAAAACAGATTCGAAAAACTGTCCTGATGATCTAACTTTCAATATGGATAAACAAATTTGTGCAGGACCCAAAAATGATTTGGGAGATGTTTGCAATGGAGATTCTGGTGGTCCATTGTTTACCATTCATAATGATAATGATTGCCTTTTTGAGGTCTTTGGTGTTCTGTCTGGTGGTGCTCTATGTACCTTGAGGTATTCATTTTCAAGTCATACTTTAGTTTCCTTTTATCGTGAATGGATAGAGAGTATAGTATGGCCAGATGAAACACAATATATCTTAGAGGACTAAAAATGTCTCTACTAAATTGATCACAACAAGACTTTCGTACCATTTTAACTGCTTCACTTTTATACAACTTAATGTTCGTAATAAATTGCTTACTAATTCTAATGTGATTAATACCTTTATATTATTGAAAGTTCATTGCTTTTTATTCATTTGCAATTTTCAAAGACTGGATTATTACCGCTGAAATGGGAATTAACTACTTTTCTATAGATATTAATTTAAATAAGGTGCAGCGTAATATGAAAATTATCGCTTATCGAATATGTGTTGCGTTTGCCAACACTAATAAACGAATGTTGCTGCTAACTTAACGCCGTTGTAAGCAGAATTTGCAGAGAAAATATATTGAAAAAAATTGTGTGTATAGTATGTGAAAACATAGTTTTGTTTTTGTTCGTTACGGTTGCAAATAGATATCACGGCACGTAAGTCAAGCAGCAAAAAACACTAAACGAAAAAAGAGGACAGACGAAAACGCTAAAAATGTTGCTGCCCGACGAAGACGTTGCTGTTGACTAATAACAAGAGCTTGTGTATGTGTGTGCGCGTGTACATGTGCATGTGTGTGTGTGTATGCGCATGTATGTGAGTGTGGAGTGCAGAAATGTTTTCCAGCGTTGGCAGCCATGGGATTAGCGTTGGCATTGCCTCCACCGTGCATGACACCGATGGCTATGATTTTACGAAAAACGAGAATGCGGCACGTTGGCGCGGCCTTTTTGTACCATCACTGCGCAAGGTGCTGGAGCAGGTGAATCCGCGCGTAACAGCCAAAGAAGATGCCCTGCTCTACGTGGAAAATCTATGCGTCCGCCTCTTGGCCAAATTGTGCGCGCAGCCATTGCCACACTCAGTGCAGGATGTGGAGGAAAAGGTGAACAAATCACCGCTTGATCGTTGGGCCCTCAAGGAGGCCAACGAGGTGATCAATTCCAAGAAGCGCAAATGTTTACTGCCCACGGAGCGTGTTCATACGCTGCTGCAGAAAGATGTGCTGCAATATAAGATCGATAGCTCCGTATCGGCATATTTGGTCGCTGTGCTCGAGTGCATCTCATCGGATATACTGAAAATGGCTGCGGATTATGTTTGCAACATCGCGCATAGCGAAATCGTGAAGGAGGATATTGAGGTGGTTCTCAATGCGGATGGTGTCCTTCTCGATATGCTCAATCGTAGCAGCGAGCAGCTCAAGTGTAATGTCCTGCCCAGTCCGCTGTCTCTGCAGGCGCAGCGTGCGAGCGCCACGTACGAGGAGACAGTAAAGGAGCTGATCAATGATGAAAAACAATATCAACGGGATTTGCATATGATTATACGGGTATTTCGCGAAGAGCTGGTCAAGATAGCGCGCGATCCCAAGGAGCTAGAGCCGATCTTCTCAAACATAATGGATATATATGAGGTTACGGTAACGCTTCTGGGCTCTCTGGAGGATGTTATTGAAATGTCGCAGGAACAGAATGCCCCTTGCGTTGCCAGCTGCTTTGAGGAGCTAGCCGAGGCCGAGGAGTTTGATGTGTATAAGAAATATGCACATGATGTCACCTCGCAGGCGTCGCGCGATGCACTCAGCAATCTGCTGGCCAAGCCCGATGCATTATCATTAATGTCAGCGGGACATGGCTTTCGAGAGGCGGTCAAGTATTATTTGCCCAAGCTGCTTCTGGTGCCCATTTGCCATGCGTTTGTCTATTTTGATTACATCAAGCACCTTATGGATCTCAGTACATCACAGGATGACATCGAGAGTTTTGCCCAGGTGCAGGGATTGCTTCATCCGCTGCACTGTGATCTCGAGAAGGTAATGGCCAATCTGTCCAAGGAGCGACTTGTGCCGGTCAGCGGACGCGTTCGACGCCAAATGGCCATTGAGCGCACACGCGAACTCCAGCTCAAAGTGGAGCACTGGGATGACAAGGATGTGGGCCTGAACTGTAACGAGTTCATACGCGGTAAGTCGATTTGTGGGTCTTTTAAGTATAACGATATACTTATTACAATAATTTGCAGAGGATGCACTCAGCAAACTCGGCTCAGGCAAGCGCATCTGGAGCGAGCGTAAAGTATTCCTTTTTGATGGCCTCATGGTGCTATGCAAAGCGAATACCAAAAAGCAAACTCCATCGGCAGGCGCAACTGCCTATGATTACAGGCTGAAGGAGAAGTTTTTTATGCGTCGCGTCGAGATTAACGATCGGGCGGATACGGAGGAGTTGAAGCATAGCTTTGAGCTAATCACCCGCATGCATCCGGCCATTGTGTTGTCGGCTAAGAATGCCCAACACAAGAACGATTGGATGGCGGATTTGATAATGGTGAATACCAAATCGATGTTAGATCGCATACTGGACAGCATACTGCAGGATATTGAGCGCAAACATCCGTTACGCATGCCCAGCCCGGAGATATACAAGTTTGCTGTGCCCGACAGCGCCGAGAATATTGTGCTCGAGGAGCGAGACAGCGGCGTGGTGCCCATGATCAAGGGGGCCACACTGTGTAAACTGATTGAGCGCCTCACCTATCACATTTATGCGGATCCAACATTTGTGCGCACCTTTCTCACCACATATCGGTATTTTTGCTCACCGCAGCAGCTGCTCACGTTGCTGATAGAGCGCTTTGAAATACCCGAGCCGAGCCTGGTTTATCAGGAACAGCAGACAAATAATATTGGCGGCGGTGGCGGTAACTCTGATCTCGATAAGGATGCAGCGACAGCTACTGCGTCAACGGCGGACAGTGATAAAATGCTTAAGAACTCGCAGCGCGAGGATTGGAAACGTTATCGCAAGGAGTTTGTCCAGCCAGTGCAGTTTCGTGTGCTAAATGTGCTGCGGCACTGGGTGGATCATCATTTTTATGATTTTGAGAAGGATCCGACACTGCTGGACAGACTGTTACACTTTCTCAACGATGTCAACAGCAAATCCATGCGTAAATGGGTCGACTCTGTGCGCAAGATTGTCGATCGTAAGGTAAAGCGTTAAACTAACATAAATTGCAACTATTAAAAGTAATTTGTTAATCCGATTTTCAATTTAATGTCTTGCGTCTATGAACCATAGATGATTACTTTTAAGATGTCTTTGCCTTTAAGAAGTTAGCAATTTATAGAAACAATCTGATACATTTATGGCAGATCTGTTAAAAGTTTGAATAGATACGCCTGTAAATATTATTTAAATTGGTTTTACGACTCTCTGGCATTGAAAATCATAGCGTATATGTTAACTAGATTAACCAAATCGTACAATATATACCAATTTATGGCTATCTCTTCTCTACAGAATAAACAAAGCAATAAGAAGATCGTCTATGCCTATGGGCATGATCCGCCGCCCATTGAATACCATCTGAATGTGCCGGACGATGAAATTACGCTGCTTACTCTACATCCGCTGGAGGTGGCGCGACAGTTGACACTGCTGGAATTTGAGATGTACAAGAATGTGAAGCCATCAGAGCTGGTCGGGTCACCGTGGACTAAGAAGGACAAGGAGCTAAAGAGTCCCAATCTGCTCAAGATCATGAAGCATACCACAAATGTAACGCGCTGGATCGAAAGGTCCATCATGGAGGCGGAGAACTACGATGAACGTTTGGCCATTATGCAGCGCGCCATTGAGGTGATGATGGTCATGCTCGAGTTAAACAATTTCAATGGCATACTCTCAATTGTGGCTGCCATGGGCACAGCTGCTGTTTTTCGTTTGCGCGCCACATTCAATGGGTTGCCAGAACGGCATCGTAAGTTCCTGGACGAGTGCCGTGAATTGAGCGAGGATCATTTGAAGAAATACCAGGAACGTTTGCGTTCCATTAATCCGCCCTGCGTGCCATTCTTTGGTCGTTATTTGACAAATATTTTGCATCTGGAGGAAGGAAATCCGGATCTGTTGACCAACACGGAGCTTATCAATTTCTCGAAACGGCGAAAGGTGTCGGAAATCATCGGCGAGATACAACAGTACCAAAATCAGCCGTATTGTCTCAACGAAGAGCCCACCATACGACACTTTTTCGAGCAGCTGGATCCCTTCAATGGACTATCCGACAAGGAAATGTCCGACTATCTGTACAATGAGAGTCTACGCATTGAGCCGCGCGCCTGCAAAACTGTTCCCAAATTCGTAAGTCTAAACGCCTAAGCAACAAAATCTCGAGAAGTCTCACTTAAAATCCTTTTCATTTTACAGCCCCGCAAATGGCCGAACATTCCGCTTAAATCGCCGGGCATTAAGCCTCGTCGTCAGAACCAAAACAACAACAGCAACAAGTTGTCCAGCAATGCGCCAGCCAGTGTGGAGCCACCCGCAGCGGCGGCCGCGGCGTCGTCAACAGCGAGTACGACGGCAACCAGTATCGGCGATCAGAGTCCGCAGCATAATCCCCATGCATATTCCGTATTTGCGCCGGTCATCATACCGGAGCGCAATGGCGGCAGCAGCTGGAGCAGCCATACGATGCACCGCACCACAGACAATGGTGAAGTGGCGCCGGCGCCGCATCTGCCACGCAAGCCGGCAGCGCATGTCTGGACACACAACAGCAATGCTCCAACGGATGGGTTTAGTCCAGCGGAGCAACAGTTGCCACCGCCAGCAACATCGGCTGCGGCTACCAGCAGCTGGAACATGTCGGATTGTTATGTCATTTCGGATGCGAATACAGCTGAAGTGTTGCCGCCATCGCCACTGCCGAAACTGATGATTAGTCCAAGGCACGAAACTGCGCCACCACCGCCGCCGCCCGCCAGCAATCGCTCACCATTCCATGGACGCATCCAACAGATGCAATATAGTCCGACGCACAGCATTGCCAGCACGGTGACGCTTATTAGCGGCGGTTTCGGTGATGTGAGTCCACAGCTGGGCGGCTTCTACTATAACAGTGAACAGGGACATGGCCAGACAGGCGCAGTGCCCATATCGCCGCATGTGAATGTGCCCACAGCAACCACATTAGAGTATCGAGCGGTGCCGCCACCATTGCCACCGCGACGCAAAGAGCGTACGGAAAGCTGTGCGGATATGGCACAAAAGCGCCAAGCGCCCGATGCACCCACAGTAAGTGGAGGCCTGCTTAATTAACTTTATATTCTAATTGTTTTGTT